TATAGATTAGTCGATATTTTAATCTAAATTGCGAATTTAACTACGTGGCGGAATAAAAATTTCTTTTTTTTCGTTTCGGTGGATTAAAAACCAAGGAAATCAAACGGTGCGTATGGTTTCAGTTTACTGGAAGTACAAAGTCGTTGTGTTTCTGTGTTCATTAATAATTTTCTCAAATTTAAGAAAATTTGATGGAATTTCAATTTTCACATAGATTAGTCGATATTTTAATCTAAATTGGGAATTTAACTACGTGGCGGAATAAAGATAAGAGTATCGAATCTCGTATTGTTTTCTAATTGAAGTGCTATTTTTTTATGCAATTTAAAATTCGTTGAAAGAAAATTAAGAATGTCTGAAGACATTTTAAAATTGTAAAAGTTATTAAAGTATATCTATCTATCTATCTATCTACCTGTCTGTCTGTCTGTCTGTCTCTCTCTCTCTCTCTCTCTCTCTCTCTCTCTTGATTCACGAAGCCAAGTAGCGCAAGCAAATCGAACGTCAGCCGTCAGTGAAACGGGCAGAAAATTGTAATCGTCGCGGGGTTTCCATCGAGCAACGAAATTCCGTGATGGAAAAATCTGACGCGGGTGACGTTGGTAACTAATATTCGCTCGTTACGTGCAGCCCTTTTGTCGGCATGATAAATTAGCCGTCGACCCATGTCAAAGGGCCACAAAGAAAGCAAACCTTCGATGGAGAATCGTACGGACTTCGCTATCAAGCTGGAAACATTGGCGATATCGATCGGGAACGAGAGATGTTCCGTCGTCTAATCTGTTTGTCAAATCGGCTTTCGTTCGATACAACGTGTTCGATACGTCGTGTCTCTATTAGACAATAATCGTTGATAGAGTCGTCGGTTAAGGTTCCTTCGAGCGGTGGTAAGTAAATCGTCGATGCGACGAAGTAAAAAATTTCGCGTTCCTGAAGCGCGAAAGGTTGAAATTGTTGTTTGGAAATATTTGTAAAATAATCTGCGAAATAATCTGTTTCCGCAGATTACAACAGATACGATATTGAACAATAATGGTAAAAATGGTCAATAGAAAGAAGACACGATCTATCTCGCAATGGTCCTAAGACAAGCTATTCTGTTAGTATTCTGTTAGGAGAGCCAGGTGAATGAGATACCTGGTATCGCAGGTGTGATAGAAGCAAGATTATTTCGCGGAAGGAATCACGACGCGGGCAGAAGTATCCGCCGCGCGAGAAAGCAACAAAGAGGGAGAGAAAAGAGCGGCGGAGGTGATAAGCCTCGATATCTCGAGCTACACCCCCTCGGCGCGAGATATAAGCTCCGCCTATCCCTGGGGTTACACCGGCACTTCCAAGAACCCCCTGAAACCCACCACCCCCGTGCAGAGGGGGTAACCCAACCCACGGTGTTCCATCGTCGTTGGCATCCGCGGCATTCCAATTAGCTCGCGAATCAAAAGAGCCCCACTGCCTTTGTGGGGTCTCACCCCCTATCCCTGCTAAACTGTCTCCTTTCCTCTTCCACCCCCGCCTGGCTAAACGTCGCTTCTCTTTCCGGCCACCTCTCGTATCGCTCTTCCTCTTTCTCACGATCGTTCCTTTCTTCTTCCTGCTTTCCGACTGGTTACTGCCTGAAATCTCTCTCTCTCTCTCTCTCTCTCTCTCCCCCCCTCTCTCCCCCTCTCTTTCACACACGCGTGCACCAACACGTGGAGGGTGCATATGCTTTTTTTCCCCTGGTTCCGCTATGCTACGATACATCCTACGATTCTGTGTCCTTCGCTTCGGCAGAATTTTTTGGAGAACGTAGAGGAGGATTTTCTATGGACGAAAGCGGTCGATCGGTTAATTTTCGTTTTTAAATTTTGCGTTTTATAATTTTAACGACACGACTGTGACGATAGAAGATTGTAAAATCGAAGTGACGCGAAAAAGTTAAATGGATAAAGCGGCCGATTACCGGTTGGCGATCGGTAATTTCTTGATGAGTGGTTAAAGCGACGGTTAAAATGCTTATATATATATATATATATATATATATATATA